TATATATATATATATATGTGAACCAGTTTGTATGCATGTTTTCCATGGCTTGACTTGAAGGGATTTGCGGGGGACAAAAGTTGCAGCCTTCTCAGCCTGGCAAGTGTGCAGGAGCTAAACCGACCCGTTATGATCCAGTTTTCCGAGGGTGGTTCCGCGTTTGTTGCTTGACTCAAATGTATAGTTGAATGTATGGTTGCTTGAAAATTGTTTCTACTGATGAATGTTCACTGACAAGAACAAAAAGCATATGTAATCCATTGGTCTTGGTGGGTATGAAACTAACAGGTTTTGCGATCATCGCAGGTTGCTGGCAAGTCCCTTCCCAATGAGAAGGGAAAGCTACAGGTGCCGGCCTCAAAGGTAGCTCCATCAGCGCTGGCGACCGGTCGCAATTGCAAGTTTTTCAGTCTTCGTAGGTTCCAAATGTTCCACAATGTTCCATACCTGACGGGCATGATATGTGGCCATTGTGTCAACTTTTTGTTCGGAGAGAAACAGGCTATATCTGGCCACCCGTCCTCAATCCGGGGAGTGATTTGTAAGGCGTGCAGGTAATTCATGATCACGGTAAGGCTTTCAAGGGAAGCCTACAGGTTACGTACATTCGAATTTGTGGGCAATTTGAAGGTGCCACTGTGTTTGTGAGCCATGATTGTGTACCTTCAAACAGGAACGTCTTTGCGCAATGGCAAGAGATGCTCCACACCCACAGGCATTGTGAATCACGAGTCCCTATTCCCACTCACATTGGGAGGGGATTGTGTTCACGAGTGTGCTCAGCTTTTATGTCTGGGCTAGTTTTGCTGGAATTGACTGTTGTTGATTGATGCTGCCTATTCTTGTTCAAGATGCCCTGCATTCGTGCGAATGTATCAGTGCGCGTTGTTGGAGTTGTGCGAACTTTCAGGTTGTTTGTTGGCAATTTGAAGTGAGTGAGATTCGTAGATAGATAGAAGTATATTGAGGTAATGCGCTGAGACATAGCGCAGTGCACTTAGTGGCTGGTGGATTGCGTCACAATTCGCAACTCCACTTAGGAAGGACTGGCTTTTGACTCCCCACTGGCATCCAGTTTTCTTGTTGTGAAACGGGAAGTTCCGCCTCCAACCTGTCTTACTTTGCAGTTTTGCTGCAATCCGAAGGCGTCACACATTACAATGTTTTTCCCCAACAGTGAAGCTTTTAGGGTTGGAGTTCGAAGTTCGACAGGACGAGACACTTACCTTCGACAGCCCATCGACCATGACCGTGTTGCCGGGTCGAATTTGACACGCATGATCCACAACCGGATTGGAACAGCAAAACTCCAGACTGATTGATCGGAGCAGGTCCTGGAGCAGGCTCCGGAGCGAGTTCTGGAGCAGGTTGTCGAACAGGCTCCACAGCAGGTTCGGAAGCAGCTTCCGGAGCAAGTTCCTGGGTTCCGGAAGTTCTGGAGCAGGTTCCAGAGCAGCTTCCGGAGCGCTTTCCGGAAGGTTCTGGAGTTTCCGGGAAGCTCCAGGAGGTTGCGAAACAGGTTATGCAGCAAGTTCCGGAACAGTTCTGGAGCTTGGGAGCTTGGGAGCAAGTTCTGGAGCTTGGGAACAGATATGATGAGACACAGCTATGAAAATGTTGTGGCCTGGCCCTGACACATCGCACTTCTGACCTGTTGTCACGCTAGCGTGGGGCTTGCGCTGACGGTGTTATATTTCTGATACGCTAAGGTGTTGCCACGCCAATGTCATGTTGGTGTGGGGTGCGTACGTACATATGTATTATTTATATATATATATATAAGGCTCAAGATTTCGGCTCGAAGGCAGGTCTCCACCCGCCACTTCCGTGGCACCTGACGGGCACTTCGCGCCTTCACCAACCTCGTTCCTGAAGAAGAGAAAGGTAGCTTCGCCAACATGCGGAAAAGCTATTTGGTCTGCACCAGCTGCAGGCAAAGTTGGCTATGGGAAGATAGGTTGGTTCAGAAGCCGAACATGGCCTGCAACATTTGCGGGCAACAGTGGAAAAGATCCACAGTGCCGGACCTCCGCCAGCGACGAGTTCAATGGGCTTCATGGAACTTTGACCAAAGAGGTGAACAGTGGCCCAAGCGCAGCTACAGGGATGTGTTGGTCAACCCGCCACCTGGACTGGATGGAGGCAAGGCACCAAAGAAAGCCAAGGGCAAGGCCAAGGGTATTGAGAAGAAACTTCAAGAACATTGGTCAAGCATTCCTGAGGCCCTACGCGGTCAGCTAGAAGCCCTAGGGGTGCATGCGGCTGATCCGGCACCACCGCCGGATTTACCCACACTCATCAAGGAACATCTACAGAGCTTGCCTGCAGAGTTGAAGGAGGTTGTTGAGAAGATGGTGGAACCGGCCAAAAGTGAAACTCCCCTCAACCAGAAGGTCAAGCAGGCGGTAGGAACTTTGAAACAGCTCTCCGAGAAGAAGGCTTCCATACAAGTTCGAGCTGATCAGGTCAAACAACAGTACACGCAGCTCCTGCAGGACTTGAAGGAGATCCAAGCCAAGATTGAGACTGCACAGAAAGAACTTCAGGACGCCACTCATTTGTACAACCAGCAGCTCGAAGAGGACAAGGAGAAAGTTCCTGATGAGTCCATGCAGGAAGAGATCACAGCAGAAAACCTGCTGACGGTCATGGCAAGTTTAGGCATGCAGGTGTCCGCCGAGCAAGCCAAAGAATTTGCCAACAAGCTTGGAGAGAACGTCATGAAACGACGGAAGTGTGGGTAACCAAACAAACTTGCTAAGGCAGCAGGTGCATGGGGAAGAGGCATGTGAGCATCAGACTGATCAACCAGGGGAAGCAGTTGAGCAGCAGTGCACACCGTATGCCAACTTCGGCTCAGGCTTTGAGGAAAGGGGCGATTTCCCATGGCCTGGACAAGGGGTACCAGCTTCGTGTGAGAAGGGAGGAGAACACTTCCCTAGTTTTTGTGGGGGCATGGGCACCATGGAAGTGGACATGGACGCTCATGCAGGAACTTCTGGCCTACATCCGGAAGAACGAGAACGAGATGATCAAACCAGCTTGGACCTTGTAGTTCAAAATCTGCAAACCAGGCTGGGAAACTACCGAAACCGATGCTTTGCCAATGGACCTTTCAGACTATGGGCCTGGGTGGGCAGTTTCCTTCAAGGAAGCAACCTTTGGGCCAAAACTACTCCGGCTGTGATGGCAGTGCTAGGGGACACGGAAGTGGTTAACATCACAACCCTGGCCACCCTGCAGCCTTTGTGGGACAAGTTCAATGATCTGGTACAGGATGATGCCTCACACTTTCTTCAAGAACTGGTGAGGCTCTCTGACTCCAAAGCAGTGATCAGGCACTACCACCACGTGGATTTCAGGCAGGAAGTGCACATGAGGGAGGCTTTCCCAACCCACCTCATCTTCCCGACACAGATGGCCCGGATTTTGAACCTATGATTGCCAAGTGGGCAAACACCGCGGAAGGACAAGTACTAGCAGGAGGTGGTTTGCGGGTAGCACAGATTGGCAGATACACCCAAAGACGAGGGGAATGGACAAAGCGTCACAAAATCCTGGAGGTGCCATCCATCTTCAACTTACCGGTCTGCTATGATGGGCAAACCACGGGCGCAGAACAATATTCACTGGTTGGCTTGTTGTGCCACACCGGCGATGGTCACAAAAGTGGGCACTTCTACGCCATCTATGTGCACAGAGGTTTGTACTGGCTGGCAGATGATGGATCATATCCTCGAGCACTTCCACACTTGCAAGACAACATCAAGCAGCAGATTGTCCAAGTATGGGCTATACCATCCAAAAAGCTCCTGCCGGAACAGCTCAAGTGTGATTTCCCTACCACAAACAGGGACATTGTCAGCAAGGAGCCGTCAATGAAACGCAAGTGCCAAGAAGGCATAGATCTGGCCTTTGCCAACATCACCAATTTAGGGCATGAAGTTCGGCAGTGGCTGGGAGGGAGACCTAGGACACCCATCTTTGTGGTAGAGACTCATCTTGTGGAAGCAGATCACCTCAAGACCATCCAGTGGCTCAGTGCTAGAGGACTTGGAGCCATGGGACAACCAGCGGCAGAGAGCCCAAAAAGGGGGCACCAATGGAGGCATCATGTTGGTCTTCCCACCACACCTGCACTTCCACTACGTCCAACATCAGTGCATTGATGGATGTGGATGGTATGCCGTGATGTGGAGCTTTCAGAATGCCAGCATCATATTGGTAGGAGCTTATTTCAAGTGTGGAGAAGGAGTACAAGGCAAGACCAACTCCACTCTATGGGCTGGCCTCCTGAGCTTTGTCACCAGTGTCCAACAAGCTTGCATCGTTGTTGGTGACTTCAACATCACGCCTGGAGAGTTCATGGCGACATCCATGAGCACGGTCATGCAAGTCCAAGTGCTGGCCACTGGAGAAGAAACCTGTTCCTCAGGCAATGAGCTGGATTGGGCTTTGGCTACCAATCACATCAGTGCTGACCTCACCATCCAAGCCAGCTGGGAAGTGCCTTTCAGGCCGCATGCCCAACTACTGTTGCATCTTGGATGGAGCATGGAACCCATTGCAGTAAACCAGCTCACGAGGTTCAATCCCGCTCCGAAATTGGAAGAAGTGACGAAGGAATGGAGCCAAATTGAACCTACAGAAAGAGCCGTCCAATGGCTGGATTATGAGGACAATCAGATCAGCAGAGCGCTATGTGTTGCAGAACCTGGACAAGCCAACAGAAGGCAGAGGCACCAATCTGCAATTTCAGCTCAAGCCTTTGACGGACCCACCCAAGGCCTGGCTATGGAAGAAGGGTAGCATGGCCTTTTGGAATCAAATAGAAGTCAGGCTCCAACAGCTTCAACACCGGCCAAGCCATTTGATGGGGGAGCAACATCATCTGGCCAAATTGGGATGGCACATTGATCAACATTGGCACTGTGATGACAACATCACCCTGCAGAACTACAAGATGCTCTTTGCCATGGTGTGGAACCAACCGGAGAAGGAGCACATCCTCACCCTCCTCAAGCACACCAAGGATCAACGAGAGCTTCATCAGGCCACGACTTTTGAGGCAGAAACGGAACAGTATAGAGAATGGCTGGCTAAAGCCTCACTCAAGGGTCATCGTGGACTCTTCAGGTGCCTCAAGAAGGATGAACAGCCTTTCCTTCGACCTTTCCAACAGCTTCCAAGACAAGAACGAATGGAACAGAGGGTCCAACAGTGGGGAGACATCTGGGGGATTCGAGGAGGAGCTCATCGAGTCACCACCCTGGAAGCCATGATCGGGAAAGCAAAGGAGCATGCAGCCACCATGGAGCCCCTCACTGAGAAACACGTCTGGTACACCATCAAGCAGCTATCCAACAAAGCGCCTGGGCTAGATGGAGTCGGTTTCGACTTCTTGAAGGCCTTACCATTTGCTGCCATGAAAGACTTGATCAACATGTACCATCAGATTGAAGAAGTAGCCATTGTTCCCAACCAATGGCTGGTGGCCCTCATTGCTATGCTCCCCAAGAATGCGGAGATAGAGCGACCAATCGCTTTAGTGGCTACCATGTACAGACTATGGTGTCGCCTGAGAAATAGCCGCACCAAAGAGTGGCAAAGTCAGCTGGAGGAAGAATACCCCTGGGAGAGAGCGATCCCAGGGACTGAGTGTTTGAAAGTCGCTTTGCGTCGAGCTTTTGTCACCGAACACCACCAGGCACTGAAAAAAACCGTCATCTCGGTGTGTCAAACTTCTATGACAGGATCAACCTCCAGAAGCTCGCAGAAAGGTGGATCAGCTCAAACTACCCGGCCACGCACGCAGCTTTTGCCATGCAGATCTATCTGGGAACGCGAATCCTGGAGGCAGAAGGGGAGGCTTCACAACCTATGTGGACAGAGAATGGAATCTTGGCTGGTGATCCACAAGCACCTTTGGCGGCCAAGATTTACCTCCAACGAGCCCTCAAAGCATTCTGCAAACGATTTCCTTTCCTTCATGTGGATCTTTGGATCGACGACCTCAGCTTCGATGTAATTGACAGGGATGTGGAAAATGCTGTCCGCATAGCAACCCAAGCATACAACTACATCAAAGAGCTCCTCGAAGAAGACAATCTCAAGCTCTCAGTCAAGAAGACGGGCTTCATCACATCCAATGTGCAGGCCAAGAGGTTGCTCCAGAGACAACTCCCCAGAAATGGCCCTATGGTGCATGATGTCACGAAGGATTTGGGGGTTGACTGCGCGGCAGGGAGATTGAGGCGCATCCAAACGATGAAAGCGAGGCGCAGCAAAGCCAACAAGAAGACTAAGAAGCTGCACACCTTGAAAATACCACAGCGGGCAGTGAGGCTCAAGATCTATAAGGGGTCGATCCAGGCGGGCATCAGTTGGGGGCACCAGGCCTTAGGCCTAGCGCCCCAACACCGCCAGCGCATCCGGACTACAATGGCTAGGCAGATGGGCTTGCAGAGGACCGGAAACGCTGACATCGTCTACGACATGCAGCCTCGCCACAAGGACCCAGACTATGAGGCCTTTGCAAGTCAGGTCAAGATCTACAGACAATGTTTTGGGAATTGGCCTGAACATCTTCATCGAGATCTATGTCACCAAAGACAGGCTCAAGCAGGCCAAACATCCCTGGCAGGTGGTCAAAGGACTGGTCGCCGCTTTGATCTGCTACCTCCAAGACAGAGGTTGGGACACTACTCACTATGACAGGTGGACCAAGCCGGGAGCCAATGGTGGAGATGACTTCGAACTCAACATGCACTCCTCTTGGTTCTACATCAGGGAGGAACTTGACCGTGCACCTGCAGCAAAGATCAATGCTGCAAGATGTCCAACAGAAGCTGGACTGGTTGCCATGGAAGCGAATGGCAAGTCAAGCCAATCCTCGCACCAAAACAGCACTCCAAACATGGCACCAAGGAGCCATCTTCACCAAAGTCGCAGATAGCGACGAGCAAGGGCGCATGACGTGCCCCCACTGCAACCAACCAGCAACGGCCATACACGTGCTTTGGCTGTGCAAGCAGACCAGCCGAAATTGCAGTCCACTCGACCCGGAAGACAACAAAGAGTTGGAGCAAGGCATCAACCTAGAGTTCTGGGCACAAGGACTACTGCAGATCCCGGAGGCCAAGCTCTCTACACGTGGCGCCTCCATCCAGGCCTGGGGCTCCATGACAGAGCTTGATGCAATCCAACTCACAGGTCACCAGACTATGACCATAGGAATCGCCACCACAAGCAGTGATGTTCGTGTGAGACACTACATCGTCACCATTGTCCATCACACCATCTTTGCTGGAGAAATGTTTAGGATGGGTGCCATCTCAACGGTATTGCCGGGCAAGCAGACACAAGCCAGAGCCTGGTACTACGGGCTCCGCCTCATAGCCCACTACGTGGACTTGACGGTGCCAACTAGAGTGCACGTGATGTCAGTCAAAGCCTGGCAAGGATGGGTGATGGGAAAACACCAAGATCACTTTTTCGATCTTGCGGCTCTGGTGAATTGGGACCAACGACAAAGGGTCAGAGCCTTGAGCATCACGAAGGAGCAGCTCCAGGTCATGCCAACCACAGGCCTCTCACTACGCACTCGCTACAACGCCAACAAGGCGGCTCAGGAAATGGCCATTTCCAGACGGCCTGTTGAACAAGAGAGGGAGCTAAGGGAGCAGGACAGGAAGTACAACCGTGTAGCGCCACTTGCTGCACAGCGCATCAAGTACCTCCTGGACACCCCGGATCACTACATCCATGAGCAGAAGGCCACGGGCAAAGCAAATAGGCAGAAAACTCGTGAGGTGAAGAAGGCACTCTTCCTGGAGATCAGTGTCACAGGCTTTGAAGGGGGACACCAATGGAAGCCAAAAGGAACTGGACTGCAATGTAGCCAATGCCAAAGCAGGATCCATCAGCACATGACGGTCCAGCAGCTTAAACAGGCCAAAGATGAGGCCTGTGCATTGGCTCACAGCCTCCCTGTCACAGGAGGCACGCCCATGGAGGAGACCAAGCAGGACTTCATCCAAAGGCTCATCGACAACCCATTGGACAACGGCCATCAGCTGCAATTCCATACCAACTACTTGGTGTGCAACAAGTGTGGCGTGCGAGTCCTTCGAAATGCAGCACGAGACAAGATTGAGCAGCTCCACAAGAGCACCTGTTGGAGCGGCACATGGGACACACCCTCAGGCTGGATTGGACACCCGACGCATCAGATGCATCGGAGAGGAAATAAGGTGTGGTGCAACCTTTGCAAAGCACATGCCAATCCAGCGGGTGACACGTGGAAGGCCAGTCACAAATTGGTCAGGCCATGTGACGATGGCAAAGGCAGCAGACAGTTGCCGCTCACCTTTAGGGCCAAGACGGCCGCATAGCCAGAGAGCTTGAAAAAGGTCCGAGAAAAAATATATATAAACACTGTATATGATTCTGAGTGCCCTCTCGCAGACGTGTAGACACGCTGACGTGATTCATATTGTTACGCTGATATGCTGGTGTGGTGTCGTGCCAACAACTTGTCAGGCTGTCATGCTGACATACTGTCATGCCGGCATGGGCCAAGCCGACATGCTGTCGGGTCTGGCTTGCTGGAGGGCTCAACGGGACTGGAAAAGGCTTCCTGTTTTGTTTGCTGCGGTGTTGTCATGCTTGCACATATGTGGGTGCATGTGCTACACTACCACTGACGCATTGCTGTGTTAATATGCTCGCATGGCGCATTGAAAAGGCTCACCTGTTGAAAACGGCATGCCTAACAAACACATACCACTTGTTGATAAGCTTGCCAAAGTCGCAAATTTATTGACGTATGCCATATGTTGCCACTGCTTAGTCAGCAAATTCATACCCAGCTGTTGGGAGAAAATACTCAAGGTATGCCAGCCAAACATTGAACCAGACTTTTGAGCAAAGGTGCTGGTATAGTTGGTACCTTTCCTCCCCGTGGTGAATATTTTTGCGACATACCCTGGTTTTTTATGCAGAGCACATGAGGCCTCCATCCTGGGAGCTGTCGCAGGCGCTCACTTTGCCCGGGCGGTAGCTCCGGCTTACGGCATCCCAGTGTCGCTGACGAGTTAAAATGCCACACAGACGAACCTTGTCGGAATGTGATGTCAGGACTTGTTCCCTTGGACGTATGACATACAATTGTTCGTGATCAGTGATATGGTCGTGGTGGCATTGTGCAAGTTGCCAGGTCCTTGTGCACTCGGACCACTGCGCAAAGAAGTTGCTGCCATGGTTCGATGGCAGTGGCCTTTGAGTTCAAACTCCGTCAGACATTCATGTTGGTTGTGACTAGAAAACCAAGGTATGTTGGAGGCAGACGAGGCATACTTCAAGGAACATGGAGAACCACTGTTCTCTTCCCACATGCTCGACCTGCCGGAGACATAGTCGGAGAACAGACAGTTGTACTATGGTAATTGTAAATATTCTTATAATACAGTTTTGAAGTTCAGAACATAATTAGTGATGAGGACAGAAAATGAAATGTACATGTAGACATATTCGAGCTCTTTACACCAGGTCCGAGGAGCCAGATGAGGAAAACATCGCGATTTGCGAGAAGCACCCGTCCAGCATTTGTGGGATTGGAGATGAAACCAGGAAATGGTCGAGTCTAAACAATACCTCCTCGAGAGCTGTACTTTATTAAAATGTTTGAAGTTTTCTTTTTAATGGGGAATTACTTGACTGGCCTGTGAGGTATTTGAAGCGCATGGCCCCCATGAAGCTTATTCTGGCAGCTCGGCTCCATGCCAGTTCAATGGTGGGCCTTGCTATGCCATGAATGCTTCTGCTCACAAAGCAGACCTGTTGCTTTGCTTCAGGAGATGGAGATCGGGATCACAGGTGGCGTTGAGGATGGTGTCGACAACAGCGGAGCCGCTAAGGAGTGCTTTTGAGTCCTCCTTTTGCTTTGATGCCCTAGCTTCAAGTGAGAAACTGCATGTCTTGAGACCAAGCATGACAAGGAGAAGCTGTATTCCACGCCACAAGATGTGTTCGCCGTCTACAAGGGCCTCAACCCAATTTCTCCCATGTCCGCGCCCAAGCTCTCAGGCATTGTTTGCAAATGGCAGACCATCTCCGGTGGGATGTAGGTTTACCATTGCGGCAGCCTTCGGCAATGTCCACGGAGTTTACAAGGTGCACCACTCACCATCCCCGACATGTGATGTTTTTGACTGAAAACTGGCGGTGCACGCGAGGCTGGCAACGTCGTTCTGAAGCCAGAGATTCTGCAGGACCTGGTGATCTCGGAGTGATTTCAATTATCAAAGATGTTGGTAAAGCGGTAAAACTGGATGTTGAGGTTCAGAGCCCTGAGAGCCCTGATTTGTGAAGGACATGCAGGACTATGCAAGGGAGCAGATCAAGGCATCCACTGGCAAGGACATCGAGAGGCAGATAGCTGGAAACATACATTTCACGAGTGACCTAAGAAGATGCAGCTGGCGAGAAAGGAAAGACAGGATTTGGAGAACTGTAGAATGACCAAGTATTTCCTAGCAGGGGCTTCAAAAGCCCCAATTTTCAGTGGATGTTCCATTCTGTGCAGTAATACACATGAGAATAGTATAATAGAATAGCTGAAAAGCTATAATATGATATACTTGTTTGGAGTCCATGTAAACTGATTGTTGTTTGAATGTCTTCGGTTTGTGTTGCGTTCAACAGTTGAGCGGGTGGTTGGGTGTGGTGGGTGGGTGGATGGGTGGGTGGGTGGGTGGCTGGCTGGGTGGGTGGGCAATAACGTTTGGTTGTATGACGTTGGATAGTTGTGTTGCAGGTTTTCTTTGAAATGTCAGGTGTGGTTCCTGTGTTGCTTTGTCTGGTACTTTCTTCTCGCTTAAGAACCACCCAGTGTTGGCCCCATTCTTTGTCGTGAACGCGTTGTACTTGGACTGTTTGGTGGATGTCTCGATGGCATACTTCTTTGCGGACCTTGAAGGAGTCGTTGACATGAGAAGGCGCCACCATGTGCATGGCTTTGGGAGTGACCCAGAAGATGATCCCGGTTATCTACAGGACGTTGCGGTCTCCATTTTTGAGCTTGGTCCTGGCTTGCCACCGAATTTCCGCTGCTCTCAAGTCAACGACGCCACGGGTATCGGCAGCTTGCGGGCGTAGGCCTAAAAATAGCTTGGGTGAGAGGGTCCACCCAAAAAGAGCTGGAGGGGGTTCGGAGGAGGGAGCAGTGCCTCCCCCACTAGCACCTCCCCCGCCACGAAACAAAAATGCTCGAACACCATCGATGCAGCAGCGCTGTGCTTCGGCGTCTCGGATTGCTACTTTTCGCGCTATCCGTGTCTGTTGTGCATTGCCCGTTCTGTTCCGAGAGGTGGATTGGTGTTTGCCATGACTTGCACAAGATGCACTTTTGGCTATCCCTCTTGTGCAGCGCTTCGCATCCAAAGCTCCCGCTCACATGCCTGCTTTGCACTTCCTTGCTGGATCCCACGCTCTAAACGGGAACATAAAGCACCAAAGCCAGACCACAAAACACCGGCGGGAACGGCGGGAACCCGAAGCATTCCAGGAACCCAACACCTGTAATCCGGAAGTGAAACTACTGTTGCAGGAAGAGAACACAGCGACACATGGGAACAGAGAACGCTGCAGGAAACACACAACACCGACAAACGAACATAAAGACACTTCCACCCTGGAAGCGACCTTCTAGGAGCCAGAAGCCAAAAAGGAAAAACACCGAGGACTCCGCCCAGCAAACGGCCTACCAAGCAACCCCTACAAAAAGGGTAAAACACCCAAACGGGAACAGAAAACACCCGACAAAACCGATGCAGGAAGAGAAAACAATTGAGGCCTGATCCGCACAGCGGGGCATCATGACACTGGCAGCCGAAACACCAAACAACAATCACCCGCGTGGACACCGAAAACACCAAGAACATGTGGCAACATGTTGAAAGGCAGGCGCTCCACACCTTGAACTATGCAAGCAGGAAGAGAAAACACCAAACGAACAAAAATCCTGGAGTCCAGTGAAGTAGCTAAAGGACAGCAAATAGTGATGCGTCCAATGAAGTAGTGAAGAAACAACAAACTTCCACAGCACAGTCCACGAATATGGAAACAGAACAGGAAGAGGAGTTTTGATGGCAATGCAGCGGTGTCCAGTCGTAGGACCTTGGGGGCATTCGGAATTTTCACTTCACATGAGATGATGTGAGATGGATATGATCAGAATCCCAAAAACATGTCGAAGACTTGACTGGCAAAGACGTTTTCAATCACAAGACAGCAAACGTGCACGTGCCGGTCGATGCATTAGTCCTGAGACTTGCAAAACTGACGATCGAAACAGACCTAAACAGTTTGAAGATCCTTTAGTGCCGGCAGGTGCAAGTGATTGATTAAACCATTCATCCACCGACATGCCATGGGTTCGTCGGATTTGATCGGACATAGTTGACCCTTCTTCACGCACGCATTGCACACGTCAGGCCACTGAACTTTGTTTTCCACGGTGGCTCTGGATCTGAGAAGCACCACATCGCCACTGCTGGAGTCTCGGGCTTCAAGCTGCACACAGTTTGAGTATATGGTGCACCTTGCTTTGAAGTAGTTACACTGACAGGCTTTGAATGCTGGCGTTGTGAAGATGAATGTGGACACTGACACGTAAAGACCTCAATACGAAAGCATCTCTTGACGGCTTGTGTTTGCTGCCTTGGCTAGGCAGTGGGCCTACTGGGAAGGCTTGCTGAAGTTCTACAAGGCCAAGGAGGGTGCGTTTCTCAGAATGGAATAGAATGCAAGGAGTGATGGAGACGGACACTGAGGTTACTTGCAGGGTCAGATTGGCAATCCAGAAGGTGAGGACAAGCCGAACAAGAGCTGCCCGGCATGCATTGGCTTTGAATTCTGGGTGGTTGAGAGACGTTGTGTTGACGACCCACAACAACAGCTCTTTTGGTAACACAGATGATATACCAAGCCGCCTGAGCATCTTCGAGGTTTGTGGGCCCGCATGAGTATGTCACAAACCATGAGAGATTCTCCTGAGTTAGGCTACTATGACCCTCGCAAATGGATCCGCGAGTGCGAAGTGACCATGGTCAAGCGTGTGAAGGACGGACTGCAGTGGTCCATCAGAGCTCGACAATCGACAATTGCCTAATATTGCCAAATTGCATGGTGACAGGAGAGCTGCGCGGACCTTTCGACCCTTGACTCAAAACTGGTGTAATCCGTGGCAATAACCTTCCAAAGCATCCCAGCCTTTGCCAATCTCCTGAAGTTGACAGGAAAACCGCTGTGACTTCTTATAGCTGAGGAATGTGAACGCTTAACTTCTGCGAGTGTGATGCGATCTGCCATTCTGTGGGCACTCAAGGCATATTTTCAATTCTGTTCACTTTTCCGTGCTACCAGCACAACTTCCGGCTAGTTTTGCCCTCTTTTGAATTGTGAGGCCTGCGTTGTTCAAGAGTACTCTCTGGAAGGTTTGGTAGAGGATATTTTCGCAACGGGACATTTGTAACTTTTGCAGCCTCCAATGTCTAGAACGCTTTCACCGTTGGCATGAGAAGGACAGGTCCCATACCAGGCCTCGTCTACATCCATTGATCTCTGCGCAAAGACGTATCAAAAAGACGACCGCTAAGTGCTGCAAGCGCTGTAAGCACAGAAGGGCCACGAGGTAAAGTGCAAAACTGGTGCGTGGGACATTGATGAGGGTCAGCGAGCAGCCATCCTTGGCTCAAAAGAGGCGAGAATGTTGAAACCAACAGAAGGGAGGACAACAACAACAACAACAACAACAACAACAACAAGGAACTGGCACAATTCTGGGAAAGGATTTCTGTCAGCACTATTTGCCGGTCATCCCAGGAATATTTCATATTCCAAGTGGCAAGCGGACATGTCCGAGCTATTGAAACGATGGCATGACTTGGAGGCCATTTGGGATCTGGTGGGGCACATAGGCTGCCTCAACGTCGCAGTCGCGTCGAGGGACTTTCAACAGTGGGCGGATTACTGATGCCCCAATCCCGGAACTTAGACACAATAATTGAAGTTGCACACCTCTTGGGATACAGAGTGAGCTCCCTGACGCGATTGCCAGTCCTTCTGTTCTGGCTGCAGTAACCACTGTCCCGTGCTCAGCTTCAAGAGTCCTTGCTATCACGCCCGTCTCCTGAGATGTGTCATGCAAGGTGGCCAGAAATGTGTCATCGACAACCACGAGGTCACTTGCACCAACATTGGCCAGGACTTATACACTCCAGGTCCTGCAGGTAGCTCCATTCTAAATCAAAAGAAGCTTGCCAGTATCACCATGCAGAAGTCATCAAGTCTGGTTGACATATGCTACATACCCCAGTCCAGAGGTGTTAGACATTTAGGTCAAAACAATTTCGTTTCAAGCAAACAGCAACAGCAGCAGACAATTGATCTCATCACCCTAATGGAATTGAAGAGTTTTCTTGATCAGGTCGAAATCATACAAGGTCCGGTTCAGGCCGGGGATTTTGTAGTAACAGGTGCATCGCTACTAGGAACAAGACGCTACTAGTAGGATTTTGTATTTAGATCATTTGATTAGATCTGTTTTTTTTGCCCGCTCCGCTTCTACTTAATTAAGGAAGGGAGAAAGGAGAAACTTGCTCCTAGCGACTTGACGCTGGATAGCTCAAGCTTCCTTGAAGAAGCGCTCCAACTAATGATTAGGTTCCTAGATTTTTAGAGAGACCTAGTTGATCCCAATTGATGATGAGTGACTTTGTCCATCTTTGTGCAAAGTGCACAGGCTGGATATGGAAGCAACGGAAATTGCAATATGATGCAGCATTTAGGTATCCATCCGGGTCCCTCAACCAGTGGTAGCAAATTTGACCCTCCCACTGAAGTTGCAGGGGTCCCTGATTTTGATACAAATCCTATAGTTACACTGTAGTTCTCACTTTGTGAGATTCAGAGGCTGCGCAGCCTGTTGTGGACTGCTGCCATTCCTTTCGAGCTGATCGCCTCAGCAGTGCGCCACCAGTTTCGGTTTTTGTCCCGTCACACGTGTTTGGGTCAGATCACATTGTTCTTGCCTGTACCTTTTATATATATATATATTTATATTTGTATAATCCTTTCCCATGTCGCCGCATGTCATCTCAAGTTAGCTCGTTTTGCTTCATTCAATTCCATTGTACACATACTTCACGGCGATACATTCATGGCAACTCCAGGTAGTCATAATCCCTAGGCCCTAGGTCTTTGCGGTCGTGGTAAAGAAGGGCTCCTTTAGGTACGTCTAGTGGCGCAGCAACGGCGAAGCTTTTGGGCAGGAGAGGGAAAGCACTCTGAAGACTTTTATCTGAGAACTGTTTGGAATCCGCTGCCCGAGGAGCCGGACTTTGAGCATGGGGTCCACCTTGCCGGATCAGTGGACATCTGAGTAGGTATATAATATGTTTAATGTGAGATTCATCCGGACGATGAAACTTTCAGTACACAAATGAATAAATCGCCAGATTTCAAGAAGAGGATAGACGTGGGCCAAGGCCATTGGAGCGTGGGCTCTCACTTCCAGGATTGACATTCACAGAACTCCACGTGGATAGTCACAATTGCTGATTTGGGTGTGCCAGCGTGGTCACGCTAAATTCGATTGCACTCGGAATGACCTTGAGCCAATGCTTGGCTTGCATGCCTTGTTTTTTGTGTGCGTTGAAAAGGGAACTATTGCTCCACCCGACTGAAGGCCAATCTGCCAAAGACACATGCAGAGTGCCACGGAAAATGACATGGCTTTGTAACAAAAAGAACAATTTTTGCTAGGTAGCTGGCAGAGGCATATAAGGTATGATATATCTACAGTAATTTTTCACGTCCATGCAGAGGACTCAGACCCATGCACATTGCACGTCAAGCAATGCGATGCCTCAGACCCGTTCGGACCACATGGAGCACACTGCGTGGGGTTAGCTGCATGCTGAGCGACGAGGATGTTCCTTGTCCTGGGTTTCCTGTTGGCCCTTTTCGGCAGCGGAAGAGCGCTACAAGAGGAGAAAGAGAAGTGGTGGGATGCAGGCCAGACACAGATGAATGTCTGGGATCACTCTTGGTTGACACCAAGGCAAGGACGCAAAACTGTTGATGAAATAATTAGAGCCATCTCACCATGTGGTGAGGAGACGTGTCCCGAAGACTTTTGAGATTCCAGACCGCCCTGGAAGGCTGGTGTGTGGATTTCGATTTATGAGGGTCCCTTTATCCTCGGGCCTGGAAGGAAAGATATTCATACCTATCCCTGGAATAGATGAGCTGAGTGCAAACTCCAGTGGTGCTGAGAAGACACTTGGCATCTCAGAGGTACATTTGATCCCAGGTGCAGGGTAGGGGGAGGTCCAAATTATAGGACGTCGAGCAAGTTACTGTAAGTTTCCCTAAGAATATTAAGAATCTAGGAGCCAAATCATAATATAGTGCGAGCGTGAGCTATCCTGCGTCCTAGCTAGGAGCTTAATAGCTACTATAGTTACTATAGCTACCTCTTCCTCTATCCACAGCCTACCCCCTCCCTAGCGGGCCAAAAGAACAAGTCGGCAACTCTTCGAGCGAATCAAGCTTTTCAGCGACTCGAAGCGACTAAGGACAGAGTCTTCCAGCAGAGACCTTCCAGCAGATCAGCACCTGTCGTGGGTCTTTGATGGCACCAGATTTCAGGATCGAGCGTCCGAGTTTTACCAAGAAAGGAACCTGCCACCACCCATGGAGGATGTTTGGCTTCTTGTGTTGATTGCGGCAGTTCCCACCACTGTGAAGAACAATGTCATGTCCGGTGGTGACATGATGGAATTGCAGTGCTCTGCCATGGTCTTGCTATCCAGCTACTTTTTTGCAGAATACATGATAATGCTGGTGCCACCTGCAGTCCTTCTTAAGTATTTCCAGCACACCTGGGAGGTGCACAGTCGAGTAGGACATGTTGAATCAGCTGATGAAATGGTGGGCCACTTCAACTCCTTTGAGCCTTTGGGTCTTGCCATGGAACGTTTTCAAGAAGCTTTGCAAGCCCGGAGCAAGGTCTTTCATTGTGACCCGCTCCAGGGCCTGCAGGGTAGGTCAGGCATATCTTGCCCACCTCAAAGCCCTGCCTTTGGAGGTTCCCCGGTGCTTCGACCGCTGGTTGATGTCCTCATCATCAGATGTAGGGAAGACCTTGGCTGGGTGCTTCGTTGGCTGTCTCGAGTCTTGCGAGATGAATGGACTCCCGAAGTCGCAGGAGTTACTGTACGGCTGGTCATCTATGAGAAGTGCGACCCTCTTGACAATGAGGTGAAACCAGTCGCTCTTGACGGGCAGCAACTCCTGGCACAACTACTACACATTGGAGCAATCCACCCAGGACGGGGCACGCCTCGCGGTTCTTTTGCAGTGTACCTGTATGTACCTGTGAATCGGCTGGAAGTAAAGGCATTTGACATCCTGCTTTGTCATGCGCTTTTGATGCGAGGTCCTATCAATAGTTCGCAAAGGAAACGCCAATCAATCATTGGTAGGATCCAGAATGCCATTGTTCTTGTCAAGTTTTGCAATCCAGCCTTTTTGAAGCTGCGTTTGCCAGGAAGCACAATCATTGCTCTCAAGGAGCCAGAAGGCTTTGAACATGTGGCCTACGTGTTGGGACCCTGAGGTGAGAAGTGAAGACACGGTAAACAGATTATCGCCGTATCGCATACTCTCAGCTGGAGCCTAGGAGAGCTCAAATTGGATCACTGAGGCACTACTGCATGTCAAAGAACTGGAGAGATTCTGACTTTGTGGGCAGCTCACTTCTGTGTATATACATATACTTATGTATGTATATCACCACGCGCACCAGGATGACTCGTGAGACGAGCCCGGTGTTGTACTAGGCTCACAGACCTGAATACAAAGAAATGCCCCAAGGAAGGAAGGACCTTCGACATGCAAGTGAAACGCGACCTAAATGAGCGGAACGTCCCAAGACGCCAGTGTGCGGCCAGCTCCCAGCTCAAAAATCTGTGCCAGATGTATCAAAGCACCATTGTCAACGAAAACGTGCGCTCCAGTGAGGGAGCCTTGAGGCATGGTGCGGCCGGCAGCTTTGGCCAATGCCGGGGCCAACGTCCCCGGGAATGATTGCAATTATCTGAACGACCAAGCAAGACAACTGCTCTGCGGATCTTCTTATGATAGTCCAGGTACGTGGAAGTGCAGCTGTCGTCTCCCAGCTTGTAACCCAGTGAATGAAAAAGCGCCGTGAGTTCACACAAAGAGGTGACAGCATCTTCCTGCACTTTCCAACGCAAACCTCGCAAAAACTCACAAA